TTTTTAAAACCAGTCAGTGAGCTCACTCATGTATGAAACACAGACATTTTGATTATTCAGACACTTTATCTTCAAATTCTTATCTTGTGACGCAGGAATTTTTCGACTAACCTTGGATTGTTTAAACAGAAAGATAGGGAAATGTCACCTGCTCGTCACAGGTCTGGTGATAATGAAAACGACACAGGTGATGATACTGAGTGTGTGTTTCGTTTGACCTAGAATTATGTGTTGGTATTTACGAGTTTATTTTGAATGCGGTGGACACATATGAAAACAGATTGTGTGTTTGGACAGTGCTTCACCTCAGTCTGAAGTGTGGTCACACGTTTGTTGTATATACGCGGACATGGATACACTATCTGTGTTGCCACATGAATCATAAATTGATATGTACATAAAGCTGGAATGACCTGAGCCACACCTTGTTTTCTGTGGAGTAAGGGAGAAATTTGTCAATTATGCAGCAGGATAATAGAATGGAAAAGGTGAGAATAGTTTATTGATTAACTGAGGATGTAGATTGAAAGGATAATTTGCATGTGAAGTCAAGCTGACCTAGAAAATAAATAAAAGCTGAAGCTTTTCAAATTGCATTCATTCTTCGTTGACCTTTGCATATTCATATTAATAGGTTGAACAAATTTCAACAAACACTGATAGTGTGATTTCCTTGAATATATAACACATGAATAAATTTTATGACAATAAATGAAAGTTCATATAGATGGCCTTTCATCAGTCTGAATATTTGAAAGTAGACACATGAAGATTTAAAATTTATAATTTTAAAGACGAAGCTTACTATGCACTGTAAGTTCATTTCTTGCAAAAGATGGTTGATAACAAGTTCATCTGTTAACTGTCTGTTTACATTGATTCCTGAATTTATTGCCGTAATAAATAAGCAAGACAAGCAGTCCTGGTATTTTCGAATGTTCCAAACAGGAGACTAAGCAACAGCTGATGATTGATTGGTTCTGTGTGCTGTGTTGACAACACAACAGCTTGCCTTATATAATGTAGTGTAGAAAATGTCCCACTTCAGATGGATGCTGGAATCATGGCAGAGGAGGTAAATTAAGAGGGCAGTGTGTTTGTAAACCTTGGTAAATTTTGAGGAAGGTGTGCATATTAATTAAATTTGTGTGAACTGCATAGTATTTTCACCTATTTAATGTTTGTGTTGGATTTTGGCAAATGTGCTGTTGTTGTTTCTTACGGATGCCCAGCAACCTATTTTTTTAACCCTTAGCAACACCCAGCCACCTCTATATCCTTACCATACTAACACCCAGTGAACGAAAAAGCCACCAGCTATAGTTTGGCATGAAATGCATGTGGACCCGGTTTTTTGTAAATATCTCTTCATCCAATGACCCAATCGATCTCAAACTGTGCAAGTGGATGTTTTGTCAGACAACCTAATCACATTGTAAATCACCGATTTAATGCATTTGTATTAAAGAATCCGTCTATGCAACTGTCAACAAAATAAACAGCAGAACGCAGAAGGCTTGCAGAGGGAGGGAGCCAATGACCTGTAACAGCAGCAGTGTTGGGTCATAAAGGTCAACGTTCGTCAATGTAGGTCAGCCTTGCTGATGACCCTGATGTCAAAAGAATCTAACTTTGGATGCCTACCTTTTTGTACAAGGTTTTGTTTATTGGTTGTTGGTTTATTTTTCACAATTGTTAGCACGATGTTCTTTTTCATGCCAAGAGCAAAAGTTGTACGTTTCATGTAATCCGACACATTATAAATCGGTTTGCTACGTTTGCTCTCTTTTTAAAAAAAATTCAACACATTTCTAATTAAACGTTTAGCATCATCTGAATAAGCTTTCATGATGACAGCTAGAAGTAGTCAATGTGAATGATCCAAACGGTTTATCACTGTGCAGTGCACAGGTAACTATCATGAACTGCACGTGCATTTACCTTTATGACCCAACACTACCGCTGTTACAGGTCATTGGCTCCCTCCCTCTGCAAGCCTTCTGCGTTCTGCTGTTTATTTTGTTGACAGTTACATAGACGGATTCTTTAATACAAATGCATTAAATCGGTGATTTACAATGTGATTAGGTTGTCTGACAAAACATCCACTTGCACAGTTTGAGATCGATTGGGTCATTGGATGAAGAGATATTTACAAAAAACCGGGTCCACATGCATTTCATGCCAAACTATAGTAATAATCCAGCCGGGCCAGTAAATCTCCACATTCACTGGCCGGACTGGCTTGTCCATTTTCATGGGGGTCATTTCTTAAATATATATATCACTCTATCCAACTTGTTAAAGTTCTAATACACTTTTAAATCATGCAAGATTATGTATTGATAAAAATGTTCATCATATTAACAGCTTAATCATGAAACCTGTGTCATGCCGACAATATCTTATTCTCATCTATTTTTGTAATCTTTTTCTTAGTTTCTACATTCAAATTTCTGGCTAGTGAATTATTTTGTGGTCTAGTAACTTTCAGGCATAGCTCGCCTGACTGGCAAGCAAAATTCGGGAACTATTTCCCTCTCTGCTAACACCTAGCACCCACTTCATTCTTACCCTACTGACACTGACACATACCTCCCACCCTGCAGTCAGCTTTACCCCACCCCATACTTTATCTTATCATGCTGTGGTAACCAGTCACCATCTACCCCTAACAATCGCCCCCAACATTCACACTACCCATATTCATTTTGACCAACACATCTTAAATCTTCCCCACTGTGCATTGGGTACATGATGAAAACATATTCAAAAGCATTAAAAACATATGTCAAAATTAGTGTTAGACTTGGAAATAAAGTTATTTCCAATTTCAAATGTTAAACGTTTATCAAACAGCAAAGTGACTCAGAGACTGATAAACACAGTGACGTTTGAAGTGTCAGATATACTGACAGAGCCAGAGGGACGTTTCACACTGACAGAATGAAATGCAGTCCACTTGTCAATAGCAGGAAATTGACAAATACAATTGACACAAAGTATCAGGAGCCTGTATGTCAGGGGGCACCTGTTTCATAACTTGCCCAGAATACCAGGAAAACTTGGAGCAGAATTACAGATAACACACATTGACTACAATGAATACAACTGAATACAATGGCAGTTTATGAATATAGCATATAAAACTGTGATCTAGTTCTCTAACCTGTAGCTGAGAATAACTGATAGCTCTTGTCATATCATAGCTAAAGGAATCACAGCCCTGGCTCACAGTGCAATATAGGTAGCATTGATTGTATGATGATGATGATGATGATGATGATGATGATGATGATGATGGCTCAGTGCAATATAGGTAGCATTGTTTTATAGATTATGATGATGATGATGATGATGATGGCTCAGTGCAATATATGTATTGTTGATAGATGATGATGATGATGATGATGAGTGCAATATGAGTAAGATGATGATGATGATGGCTCAGTGCAATATAGGTAGTATTGTTGTATAGAGGTAGATGATTGTTGTATAGATTATGATGATGATGATGATGATGATGATGATGATGATGCAGATCTCATTGAGTAAGGTGGTAATGGTGATTGATCCTGTAAATGTCATAATGGTAGTTTTTTTTATAATGATGGTAGGTTTTTTTATAATGATGGTGATGATGATGATGATGATGATGATACTGACTGATCTTTCATATTACAATTATTTTGAAAGTTATGATAAGAATAATAATGACAAGGTGACTGACATTGGAATCTGGTGGTTAAAATGGCAGCCAAGAATGAATACCACCGTGTTTAATTTTGGAGTTGGTTAACAAAATATGTTTGTGAGAGCACATATTGTAATGCATTCTATTACCCTAGAAAGACACTAGGATAGTCTAAATGTTAGTGTTGACACTAGGCTAGTATACAGGTTAAAATAGTCACTGGGCTAGTGTAGAAGTTAGTGTTGACATGAGGCTAATCTTCTATTTTATCATTTGTCAGTTAACATTGAGCAGATACTCTAGCAGTCAAAGTTAATGCTGAGCTAGTCTCGGCCAGTTTTGTCGTTTATACTTTATGGTGTTTATACTGGGCATGCCTAAGCGTTGACACATACTTTTGTGTCGATGTTGGATGAGTACAAGCCAGTCTCAGTTTTGTAATTTGTATTTGACAATATGGTGACATGTTATGCCCTGTAAAACAGTTGGTGTTGACCTCAGTTTTTCTGTTTGGGTTGCCCAGGGTCAGGTGTTCACAAAGTATAATGTGATTGTGGGTTATTGTATCTGGAGGACTTGGATCCTTGCCTTTCCCCCTCAACTATTGATTATCCTGGTCCCAGTATTTTCAGGCTGCCTTAATGGGCACTTGCATAGCATAGTGGTAACATTTGCTCATCACGCTGAAGAACTGGGATTGATTCCCCACATGGGTACAATGTGTGAAACCCATTTCTGGTGTCCCCTGCCAATGCTGGAACAGGGCTCCAGATAATTTTTCATGATCAGGAGTACATACTCCTTATTTATTCAATATAGGAGTACTGGAAAACCTTATGAGTACATTTAGAGTACTGAATGGAAATTAATGGCGTATCAGTAATCTTGTGTTTCGTTTCATATATGCACCACAACATTGCTGCTGTTGTGTAAACAGGTCAATAAACAATAAAACAATACTTTTTCAGATAAATACGTCTGTAAATGATTCTAAGACCGTACTCCATTGCTGTGGTGCGTATCTGCTACGCTTTCTAAACTATTTCCTACAGTATCTTGCATATTTTTTATCCGTACATACGCCGATACGACCCTAATCTGGAGCCCTGCTGGAATATTGCCGAACGCGGCATAAAACCATACTCACTCACTTACTCAGGCTGCCTTGACACAAGTGGGGCAACAACACTAACTTGACATTAGCTGCATTCCTGTGTGATGTAATTGGCAACATTATTGGTAAAAGTGGAGTAAAACTAAACTCACTCACTCAGCATCATTTCATGACCTTTATCATCTCTTACAGTTGTCACAGGGGACACAGCAGATGAATCTGGATGGAAGCAACTTCGACCCCGCCAACCTTCCACCCCCTCCTCCCGAGATGCTTCAGCAGCAGTACCTCTACGGCACTGTCCCCGACAGTCGCCAGCAGGCAGTCTTCAACAGCCAGTCGTACCCCGGAGGTCAAGGTCAGGTCAGCTACAACCCCGTGCTGGGGACGGTGGCACCTACGCCACAGAGCCAGAAGGCACAGGTCTCCAACATTCCTCAAAGCAGACCACTCCAGGTAAGGTTGAATACAGGACAATTGATTTGTCCCAGATTGGTGAAGATCGGGGTTAGAATCGGTCATCACAGACCCATATTTGTTAATTGAGGCGATGATGCTTGTTGTTAGAGCCGACCAGTGGGATTGGGTGGTCAAGCATGTAGACCAAACTGTGTAGAGTGGTGATTATAATCTTATCTCAATCACCTGATTGTCTAGTCTCGACTTTATTAATATAGGACAATCGATGTCCCAGATTGGTGAAGATCATGGTTAGAATCGGTAATCACAGACCCATATTTGTTAATTGAGGCGATGATGCTTGTTGTTAGAGCCGACCAGCGGGATTGGGTGGTCAAGCATGTAGACCAAACTGTGTAGAGTGGTGATTATAATCTTATCTCAATCACCTGATTGTCTAGTCTCGACTTTATTAATATAGGACAATCGATGTCCCAGATTGGTGAAGATCATGGTTAGAATCGGTAATCACAGACCCATATTTGTTAATTGAGGCGATGATGCTTGTTGTTAGAGCTGACCAGCTGGATTGGGTGGTCAAGCATGTAGACCAAACTGTGTAGAGTGGTGATTATAATCTCATCTCAATCACCTGATTGTCTAGTCTCAACTTTATTATTTACTTACTGCAGTCAATTTGCTGGAATATTGTAGAGAGGGGTGTTAAGCAACAAGTGGAACAAACAAAATACTGTCAGAATTTGGCCATTTAGTTTTCTGGGCCAGGGCCTGGGAACTTTGTTGGATAACACAAAGCAGAACAAAGTGTGAAGGCAATTTCAGTTGTACCCTTTAAAGGGTTGCAGGGATATTTCTAGAAGCAGTTTCAGATCATACTCACTCAGGACATCGATGTCCATTGCTACTCCAAGTATTGATAGCATGCTGATGATTGTCGGTAAGCAGTGGATATGTTTCAACTTACTGGCAAACAAGGATAAGTTGAGCATCGACCTGACAATTGACCTGTATTAGCATGTATGAATGCCGCCCACTGGTGCTTGCCATTGTTAGCGAAGGGGCCCCAGGTTGTCCGCGATCAAGTGTTGTGTGACTTGCTACACTGACGTGAGGGTCTTATGAGCAAGGTGTGTGCAGCTATGCGTCGAATCAATTTCGTCATGCAATGCACGTGCAGTAGCCTACATCTGCTCTACCTTTCACAAACCAAATGGGTTTGCTCACTGCCGTGCACCGAATGCTTCTCGTAAACGCGTTCTCTGTGCCGGTCCAACTGATCCTTGTGTGCCAGTAGGGTATGACATGCGGGCTATAATTCTAGCAGTGGCCTATATAGTTACTGTACTATGAATATTCTAGAAGTCTAAGACAAAATATTATGGATGTCAACTTCTTCTTTATTGCATAACACAAGGTTTCTGGGCTTTTCCTCCCCCCTCATCAGTTCTGGAAGTCTTTTACGTATATATGCTTCTCTGTGAATGTTCTAGAGGTCCTCTACAGATGCTTACCGTTCCAGTGTTATTGTTCCAGGTTCAGAAGCGATCCATGGGTCAGCAGCCCCCTCAGACAGACAAGAAGTTCAAGTTGATCCCCATCCGACAGGACAGCCAGACCCCCGATCCCCTGCCAGCCCCCATCCAGCAGAAACCCAGTCTCGAGGTCATCGACAGACAGGTCCTGGAAACACTTGATGACCACGCTATTCAGGCAAGTCATAACCATCTTTCACAGTCTGTTCATTTACAGTAATTGTGGGTGGTGGGTTAGCCTAGTGGTTAAAGCATTCGCTGATCACACCAAAGACCTGGGTTCGATTCCCCACATGGGTACAATGTGTGAACGCCCATTTCTGGTGTCCCCCATCGTGATGTTGATGGAATATTGCTAATAGCAGTGTAAAACCTTACTCACTCACTACAGTAATGGACATGTTAAAAAGGTTTGGTAGTGAAAATGTTTACGTCCTTGACACTGCACAGAAGTTGCAGAGAGCTTTTGAACTCAAAAGATCTCCCTTGTATTTCATAATTTTGTAACTATGATAGTGATTGCTGTTCACATCGCAATTTTGTAGTATGGTGCTCATGCTGTTGATCACTGGATTGTCTGACTCGATTATTTACAGACCATTGCCATATAGCTGGAATATTGCCATGCGCGTCGAAAGACTAAACTCACTCAGAATGATGTAACTATGATAGTGATTGCTGTTCACACCAAGAGTGAAAAATATGACATAGAGAGTTAATAATAGCTTAAGAGATTATCAATGAATGGATTCAATTTGCACGTGAAATATTTAGTTATTCTGTGTGCAGCAGGGAATTATTAGCTAGTCTCAGACAGGAAAGTATAAAATGCAAATTAGCCTGGACTATACCACTTTTGTGTTGTTTGTTTGTTTCTCCTAATTTCTCCATGTGTTTTGTCAACAGGTTTCAAAGAGTGAACACAACAGTTTCAGAGATCTGGTGTGGGATTTGATCTACTCCAAAAATATCACCAATGAAATTGAGAAAGTCAGGTGAGTGTATGGGTTTTCGATGTACAGAATCTGAACAGCTGACATTTTACTATTCAGGGCATAACCTTGTACCAAACATTTCGTGAGAGTTTGTACGACATTGTACAGAGTATCGAATTGTGCAGTTATTACTTATTAATACTTTGTAAGAGGTGTGATATTATGTTTTAGATATACTCTCAGAGACATTATACCAAGTATTATTGTATGCATTTTTTAAGCATTCCATATATAGATGCATATGAGGCAAGTTTTTGTACCTGAAATGAGGTGCTGAGAAGGGAAGTGAGAAAATGTCACATTTTTACCAACTGGCACTGTCAACCGATAGCCAAGGGTAAAAGTTTGACAGTTAAACTTAACATTCATTTGAAATAACTGTTTCAAGAACTATTCTGGTATCATCAAATAAAGTTAACCTATTTAATACAATATTTGCAAATTTAAGTTAAGTTACACTTTTTATGACTACGCATGTTACTTCAGTACAGATTTGTTGACAAAGTGTTCCTCTTGTTAGTATGTGTGGTAATAATTTGCCGAAAAAAGTGGCCATACTCAAGAAATCTATTTGATTAATTGTATGGAAAATATCATTCATTATTGTTACCTCTTACGGACAAGTCATGGGAACATTTATATATTTTAACACTACATAAGTATAGAGTTGCCTGTGACAGTAAATGTGCCTGATTGTTTTGCAGAGTTATTTTCCGTTGGTTGGCCACCAAGAACCTGAAAGAGATGAATTTCGACAACGTGGAGAAGGGCAGCCCTGAGGAGGTGCTGATGGGCCTCAAGACCGGCAAAACAACATATGCTATGGTGTTCGACACTATGTGCAAGTATGTATCTCAATAGCGAATTACCCGTATATGGAAAGTGTAACATTTGATATTGTCTGTGTGTTCATCTGCAATCATTGTCTGTCTGAATCACATCTTAACTATGAGGTATTCTTGCATGAAACTTTGCACACACAAAGGTTGTCAACTGGTGCCTTTGGATTCTTGGGGTAGCCATGAAACTTTGCACAAGAGACCGGGTTCGAATCCCCACATGGGTACAATGTGTCATTTCTGGTGTTCCCCGCCGTGATGTAGCTGGGTTGCCAGTCAGTTGGATATTTAGGTCTTTTTTATCCCTTTTTTGTGGGGGTATTAAACTGGACCACGTCCGTGCGTGCATTTGTCCGTGCACATTCTTCTTTTCTGGAGCAGAACTTTAACACCGTTCACTATTTCTTCACCAAACTTGGCACATAGATAGATCTGGTGGTGTACTGGTGCCTTTTGGTAGTTTTGGATTTGTGAATAAAATATTTTTTGCATTTCCATGGCAACAAGTTTGACTTTGACTGAATTTGGTGGTAGTGAACTTTTCCAGAGCAGAACTTTAAAACCATTTTCTATTTCTTCACCAAACTTGGCACATACATAGATCTGGTGGTGTACTGGTGCCTTTTGGTAGTTTTTGAATTCTGAATAAAATTGTTTTTGTGTTTCCATGGCAACAAGTTTGACTTTGACTGAATTTGGTGGTAGTGCTCCTTTCTGAAGCAGAACTTAAAAACCTTTCAATACTCTCCTTCCACTTTGCTATATATATGCCAAAACATTTGACATAATCATAACTAGTAGACATATTCATGAAGAGTATTTTGCCATTGCGGGGGATATTGATGACTTTGTCTTCTTGTTAAATTTATATTTTTTCAGCAAATTTGATTTTGATTTTGTTCTAATTTGGATGTTTGTCCACACCTTTTCTCCAGAACTACTACTACTATCACTACCCATTGTATACAGTAAGGAGTATGAAATCTATACACATGCTTGCATCCCAATCCCCTTGGGGATTCTGTGTCCCATCCATGGGTGAAGCAAATAAAGGGGAAGAATGTTCTCACAGCAGATGATGCAAGTGAATAGTGTTGTTCAGAGAGAAAGAGTGAAAAACCAATAGTACCATGTATCTTGTAATGAAGTCTGAAATTTGATTATCTCATTTATAATAATAATCATAATATTATTATGTATCATATGTAACAATAATCATAATATTGATTAATATTTTCTGTTTTTCAGCTATGCTGGTCTCCATTCCAAGATCATCAGTGGTTATGCTAAAGGCGCCAACTATCGTCCCGGACAGAAGTTCGAGCCCGGCAGCAACCAGCACTCATGGAACGCTGTGTACATCTACGGAACATGGTGTCTGATTGATGCTCACTGGGCTGCAAGAAGAATCATCGGCAAGCAGGCAGCATCCGAAGAATTCCATTACCAACTTGATGAATATTTCTTCTTGCCTGATCCTGTCCAGCTTATCTACACTCACTTTCCTGATGAAGCCAAATGGCAGTTGTTAGAACGTCCTTTCAACCTGGAGGAGTTTGAGAATATGCCCCACATGAAACCCCAGTTCTTCAAATATGGTCTTGAGTTTGTCACAAACAGAACAGCAGTCATCTACAGCAGAGGAGAAATCAACATCAGGTTGAGGTATTCTGCCCACAAGATGGCCGTCGCCTTCAACTTCACGATATCCACAGAGGATGGGGAAGAAGACATTGCGCGGGATGAAGCTCAGTCGGTACGGTATGCAGGAATCAACAGGTGGAATAGCATCATTCAAACTTCGTCTGCCAGAGAAAGGGTCGTATATCTTGTATATCTACGCCAAAGAGGACATCCCGGAAAACAAGGAGAACGTGTATGCACAGGTCTGCGAATACAAGATCGTTCAGGAGGAAACACCTAAACCCCCATTTGAACCCCCCTTCCCACCATGTTCGTATCTGACCTGGGGTCAGGGGTCAGCCTTCTACCGATATGGTCTCAACTCATACCAGAATTGAGCAACAATGGTGACAAGAGATGGAAAGGTTGAACTCCAAATCCGTATTCGAAGAACATGCAGTTTATGGGCAAGTTGAAGCATTGTCAAATGGACGATTCTGAGCTTGAGGGTTATATTATCAACCGTGTTGTTGGGAAGACAGCTTTCTTCAATGTCACTGCACCAATGAGGGGAGAGTATGGCCTTGAGATCTATGCTAATGACCCTGCAGCTGAGGGCTCGACGCTGTACCACATCACGCAGTATCTGATCCAGTGCCACGAAGATGTCAAGGCAACACCACTGCCTAAACTTCCTCCAGGGTATCTTGGCGCACAGCCGAAGTTCTCCGAGTATGGTCTGTGCACAGCAAGCCACAACGACCCTGTTATCCACTTAGAATGCAACACAGTCACGATTGCCATCAAGTCAGAGAACGTCTTGCGTGTAACGGCAAATCTCATCTGCTGTGAATCAGAGAAAGATCACCCCGAGTACGTGTTCTCCCACACCAAGGGCTCGATGGTAACCTTCATCGTCAACCTTCCCAAAACTGGGTTCTACAAGCTGCAGCTCTATGCCATCCCAGCCACCGACAAATCCCAGCAGCTGCCTGGGGTCTACAACTACTTGATCAACTGCCAGAAGCTGACACAAGCCGTGTTCCCCTTCCCGAAACAGTACGCTCAGTGGAAGGAGGGCTGCTTCATGAACGAGCCTGGCATCATCCCAACCACGACAACATCTACCGGACAGTCGGTCAACATTTCCCAGCTTCCCCCGACCGTCAACTTCCGTGTCATCATCCCTAATGCTGAAGCGGTCGCTATTGTCAGCGGAGAGAAGTGGACACTCCTGGAGAGGCTCGCTGGTGATGAATGGGCTGGAACGGTGGAGGTAGCTCAATATTACGGCACAGGCACCAAGATCACCCTGAACTCCAACTATGGTGGTGATTCCTCCAGCTACAACACTCTCCTGGAGTACAACGTTTAGTTTCCTCTTTTGATAGAACATAGTTATCCCCATATATGCTAATGTTTTTAAGCAATACTGCCTTAGATAACCACTGTATATTGTTACTCCTGTAAATGTAGTGCATTGTGATACTGTCGGACTTTGCTTGTTGATAACTCTGTATCTTTAATGCATTTATTTCTCTATGTTGGGTTGCTATGGCAGCAAATTAAGTGAAGCCTTGCCTCTATTTCGTTGGTTCATGGCACAGGTAGGGGGAGATAATTCCATTATTGTCAATGGCAGACCATGATGTAATTTTGTTTCTGGTTAATGTATATAACTATTTATATACTTGCTTTTTTTATTTTCCATGTGAGAAAACAACTAATTATTTCAAAATGTTAGATTTGAAATTTATCGTTTAGTTATTTAAGATTATCACTAGGTAAGTAACTTGTTATGATATTTGTGTAAGAGTTATTGTCATCTTTCAGATCTTTCAGAAGCTACGTCTTTCAACAAATTTTCACATGTATTTCCTTTGCCTATGCACTCAAATGAATAAAATTGCATTAATATACCCTCCATTTCCAGATACCCTCCATAAAAAAGCCTATATGTGTTTACATTAGCATATAGTTTATGCCATTTTGCTTACAGTACAGTTAAATATATCGCATAATTATCTAAAAGTATTTCTTTCAGGGAATTCTTAACATTGCTTTAAGGATTTTTAAGAATTCAAATTATAATCCAAATAGTATGGATTAGTATCAGAATATTTAGCTTTTCCACTAATCCTGTGATAACATTTTTAGGGTTATTATGATGTATACATGATTTTCATGGCTTTTTAGCAAGTTATGACTTTGTAATCTGAATTTTCATTTTTCGTTCATGACATTTTGGTGCAATTTAATTGTCATCTTTATTTTATCTCAATAAACATAAAAAATCCATCTTCAATTTCTGATCTGATTGCCATCATAACATAAGATATCTGATTTTCTTGTTTGCTTTGATTGGAACGAACAAAGAGTGTCAGTATTGTTAAAATCTTTATTTACTTGTTGTGTTATTTTAATTTTTGATACCAGCTTTTTCTAATTTTACTTATGAAGCTTATGCTTGAAAGAATGTTAGGGGGACATCGTGTTGTGTGGTTGCCACACTGTATAGTACTCGTGCTCATATGGAAATATTGGCGAGGAACATCATGATTTTGATTGTATGAGAAAATGAATGATAACTGGCTAGGAGAATGTTCAAGGCTTACAAATATTTCTGAACTGCTGAAATTTATTTTCAATATTCATAGAAAACATGTTCCTCTTTGGTATTTCCATTTTCTCTTTTTCCTTCGTGTAAGCTGGTGCTAGGCTGACATGGTTGTCCCAGATTATCTGAGGCAGATTAACACTGTAATTGGATGAACATAATTTTGTCTGATTTAGATTATCTTATATAGCAGTCTTGCTGCAATAAAGCTTACTTCAACTCTTGAACATTATATTTTGTCATTATTCATGTTTTTGAGATTCTCAATCTATTAAATATCAAAACAGATTGCTGTTTTACAATATCATATTCTATAGACAGAGACGTGTAAGGAAGACCAGTTATGTCCAGAGATCACATATGTTCAGAGGACGGTGGGGTAGCCTAGTGGTTAAAGCGGCGCTCGTCACACTGAAGACCCGGGTACGATTCCCCACATGGATACAATGTGTGAAGCCCCAAACTGGTCTCCACTGCCGTGATATTGCTGGAGTATTGCGAAATGCAGTGAAATACTAAACTCACTCACATATGATCACGTGGCATGGATATTTCCTATACTGTACAGGCTTGTGTTATGAAACACTGGTTGCCTGGTCCAGTTCTGTACAGTCTTGTGTTATAACACACTGGTGGCCTGTGTCCAGGGCTGTTTAGGGTTGTGTTGACACACTGGTTGCCTGGTCTAGGACTGTACAGGCTTGTGTTATAACACACTGGTGGCCTGGTCCAGGGCTGTTTAGGGTTGTGTTGACACACTGGTTGCCTGGTCTAGGACTGTACAGGCTTGTGTTATGACACACTGGTTGACTGGTCCAGGTTCTGTACAGGCTTGTGTTATGACACACTGGTTGCCTGGTCTAGGACTGTACAGGTTTGTGTTATGACACACTGGTTGCCTGGTCTAGGACTGTACAGGCTTGTGTTATGACACACTGGTTGCCTGGTCTAGGACTGTACAGGCTTGTGTTATGACACATACAGGCTTGTGTTATGACACACTGGTTGCCTGGTCTAGGGACTGTACTGTAGGCTTGTGTTATGACACACTGGGTTGCCTGGTCTAGGACTGTACAGGCTTGTGTTATGACACATTGGTTGCACTGGTCTGGTAGGACTGTACAGGCTTGTGTTATGACACACTGGATGCCTGGTCTAGGACTGTACAGGCTTGTGTTATGACACACTGGTTGCCTGGTCTAGGACTGTACAGGCTTGTGTTATGACACACTGGTTGGCTGGTCTAGGACTGTACAGGCTTGTGTTATGACACACTGGATGCCTGGTTTAAGGTTCTACAGGCTTGTGTTATGACACACTGGTTGGCTGGTCTAGGACTGTACAGGCTAGGACTGTACAGGCTTGTGTGTTATGACACACTGGTTGGCTGGTCTAGGACTGTACAGGCTTGTGTTATGACACACTGGATGCCTGTTCTACAGGCTTGTGTTATGACACACTGGTTGGCTGGTCTAGGACTGTACAGGCTTGTGTTATGACACACTGGTTGCCTGGTCTAGGACTGTACAGGCTTGTGTTATGACACACTGGTTGCCTGGTCTAGGACTGTACAGGCTTGTGTTATGACACACTGGTTGCCTGGTCTAGGACTGTACAGGCTTGTGTTATGACACATGGATTGCCTGGTCTAGGACAGGCTTGTGTTGACACCTGGTGCCTAAGGTTCTACAGGCTTGTGTTATGACACAGGCCTCACTAGAGATGTTGTATTTGTGTTATGACACACTGGTACAATGTGTGCCTGGTCGTATGTTGCTGGAATACTAAAAGCGGCGTACAGGTCTTGTGTTATGACACACTGGATTGCCTGGTTTAAGGTCGTCTACAGGCTTGTGTTATGACACATACTGCACAGATCTCATTCTTTCCTCCAAGGCGTAGCAGGCTGAAATCAACTCCTCCAAACTTCATCCAAGGGGGATTTGAGCCTCGGTTCAAATTCGGCGGATCACCTTTTTACGCGCGGTAAGTAAAAATACCAACCTGAAACAGTATTTTTATCATACTGCATTCAGTTTCGATATAAAAATAAGTAAGAAACGTGCATGTGAATATCGCACAGGCTCTATGTTGTATTCAATGCCTGAAATCCAATTATATACTCAAAACATTTAGAAACATGACAGCCACATTATTGGTATTAATGGGGAAAATTCTTTTGTCTCATACATACAACAATGCCATATAGGCTGTTTGAACATAAACTTGGTGATCGACGTCAAATGTTTTGTCATAAAGCGTTAAAAAAGCATGAAACACAAACATCACGAGCAGGGAGTCACGTGATAACCCCAGTGTAAAGTGTGAAACACGAGCAGGGAGTCACGTGATCACCTTAGTGGAAAGTGTGAAACAACATTAACGAACAGGGAGTCACGTGATCACCTGAGTGATGTAATGAAAAAGCGAGCATGTAATGAAACGTGCTCTTACGTGTGAAATCACACAAAGATTGTGTATAAATCAGGTTACATAGTTTCGACAACGATCCTACACATACCTATCGTAAGGTAATTTGTAAAGTTATGTCGTAAACATTCCCTCTGGATTATGGTTGCCAGTTTCCTGTGGTATCACTGAGACATACAGAAATGAAAAAGAAAAACGTTCTCTCAATAAAAGCTAAGCCATAGTTATCCTTAGTGGTATGCCTAAAGAGTTACGCAGTTATCTCCCCTAGCTGTGATGCCACAGCATTGTTCTCCCCAAGCCTTCATACTTTTTGCTGTATAGGTCACGTTCAGACGTTTCACAGAAGTGGAAGAGAAATTATCAGTGAAAGTCTTCACAAGTGAATTTTGCAAGTTAACTGGTTAGTGAGATCGCATTGGTTGTTGTTCTGACTATCGCATTCATTTTTTAAGTGTATCTTTTTTTTCAAATTGCTTTACTTGTGAGGAGTTAAGTTTTCCCGCCATTAGGGCTTATACAAAATGTCGCAAAACAATTGCTTGCAATGCCAAAGATTCATGGCTGAATCGGACCCTCATTCCTTATGAACAACATTTCTGGTGTCCCCCGCCGTGATATTGCTGGAATATTGCCAAAGGCGGCTTAAAACCAAAGTCAGTCAGTCAGCCTTCATTCTCTTGCCACAGAGGTTACTTGTCATATCTTCCTACGAACCTCTGTTCTAATACGGCCATATTTCCCGGTTCTCGTAAAATCCCCTAGCGGCAAAAGATCGCAACACGAATTATCTCCCTTCTTTCTATCCAATCAGAACACGTGTTACATCGACTTAGATTCAACTTGACTAACACAAGCAAATGTGGGGCCACAAATATCCCCCATCTGCCGGGGACTTGTGTTGATGTTACACACAAGACGTTTAATGGCTAGCTTGTCCGTTGTCAACGAGGGCGATGGAGACGCCACTGATCCGCCATAACATGACTGAGTTCTGTCTAGAAGAAACGTTTGCGCATCGCGCAGGGGAAGAGGTTTAGTTTTCACGAAGCATACGGAAATTACCGAGGCCTTGCGAATGATCACTTTTGAAACAACGTCGCTGATTGCACAACTAGATCTGATTGCCTCCAATCACGAGTCTTGAACGCTCACACCATGAAAAGGCCGTATTAGAACAGAGGTTACGTAGGAAGATATGACAGGAGTAACCTCTGTGGGAAGAGAATGGTCAGCCTTATGAACAGAAGGAAACAGATGTTTTCGGTTAATCAGTTTAACATCGGCGGGTATTGTTAGACATATGGTTGAGGGACAGGGTCGTCCATATAGAGCTCCAGCCTGGAGTTTCAAAGTGCTAATTAGATTGCTTCCATTATCGGGAAGACATTTATACAGACGCTTACTTATCATTCACACTATCGGTGAATGTGCAGTGTGAGGGATTTGTCCTTGGGTTTATTGTTTCAGTTTTGGTGTATTAAATGTTCAGACATAATTCTTTTGACTTACCGTTTATTTTATAAATGGGGAATACGAACTGCCCCATTCCCACCTTATGTGCCTCGTGTTTTGTGGGATCTTCTCGCTCTTTAGATAATCGTTGCTTACTGTGCTCAGAATTATCAAAAGAAGAGCAAAGCCCATAATTCCAGGAAAAATTAAAATTATCGGATTCATCAGACTCATAAAAAATTAAGAAATCTGCATCTCAACCTCAATCAGCTTTGCTTAAATCAGAACCTAAGTCTAGATCAAAATCAAAATCTAGTGCTTCTTCGTCCAGTCTAGTGGACATGTCGGCCATTACCTCTCTATTGTCTTCATTTAAATCTGTAATTCAGGCTTCCATGCGGCAATGAGTTTGAAAGGCGTAATGATGGAAAAATATCAGATTTGCAGAGGCAGATAGATTTCACGGAAATTTTAACTCAGAGGGCTCCATATATGAATGACAATGACGATGACGGGCGCACTAGGCCCCTGAATCAACAGTCATTCCCCGTAGGGCGACCGGGTAGTAGTATATAGAATAGCGGTACGAGATCACTCTTGACAAAAGCCTCCGTGAAGCTTTATTTATGAAATAAAGCTTTTATCAGGCCCTAATCTATTTCCGCTAGTGGGTATACCACTTTTGAAATCCAACAGCCAACTTCCTGGTCACTATGACGCAAGCCAACACTTCCTGGTCACGTGACACTATTGTGATCACTCGGCAGGGAGGTAAGTGTTAAATATTTTGAATCGCTACTTCTTGTGTGTGTGTGTGTGTGTGTGTGTGTGTGTAACATTGTGTCATGAGTTATGATCAATAATTCTCCTCTGCCGAAACCTCTCGGCGGCCCATCTTTCAAATAGTACAAGTTCGGTTCACCATCTTTGATGTCGACTTTATCTATGTTGTAAGTTTTGATCGATCATGTCGGATCAGTGGCTCGTTTCCGAGTGTCTCCTTCGCGTTCTCCCGGCTAGTAGAGGTAACTCACGAGAACCCAGTCGGGTATTTGTTTCTCTTTTCCTTTACGCGATGGTGCAGCGGATTCAGAGATCGCTGATTTCAATTTAATAGCGAGTGAGAAAAGTGATTTCGTGATTGATAGCCAACACCACTTGAGGTAGCTGCGTGACCCATTCGGTGTTGGGTTTATTTAGACTTATTTCCTGCGCGTACTGATGTCCGAATAAGCACTTGGCCAAAGTCCTATTGAATCTCTCGACGATGGCTTGGCTGCGATGAGCTCCGGCCGTGCCACGCCTAACTTGGACGTCGTGCTTGGTTAGTAGTTGTGACACG